GGGTTTCGAAGAATTTCTTGTAGATTAATGTTAGAGAACCTTTCATTTCATTTAAAGAGGCTAGTGGAAGGGATTCGTTAGTTGGTTCGTCCAGAGATTGTGGGAGATTGCCTTGTAGCTGGGAGTGTAGATTTGTGTGAATCGGCCTTCGGCTCACCCCCTCCCGACCTTGATGAAGCTTTGCTGAGCCTTCGTCCGTCATGTGACGGACATCGTCCGTGCAGGAAACCAGGCTTAACGATAATTTACCGAAAACACGAAGGCAAGAAATGCGGCCTGCTTCAAACCTACCTTAATTGGCCGAACGTATGATTCGGACAGGCCACCAGACAGATTAGTATAATGTCAAACGCTTAGCTGGATATGGTTATTATGGCAACCAGTAAGCGAAAGATTAGAGAGGCGGTAGAAATCAACAAAACCATAGGAGGAATGAGTGTAGGAAGTTAAGTGGAAACTACTTGTGGCTGTTGGATAGATTTGAGAGAGAGCGGGCTGGGGGAAGCACGAGAAGTACCACAGAGCAAGACTTGATTAGGCTGGAATCACACTCATTTCAAGAGCAATGCACTCATAAAATTCATGTGCAATGGTACGCAATTACATGCGGTAGCCTTGCAGGATCAAAGACATAAGTGCTTTAGAGGTCGGCTTTAATTGCACCCATTTCACGCCTCATCTGTAGCTACTTAGCATCTCATCCTCAGCCACTTAACTAAACTTATGAGCAAATATAGAAGCAAAGCATACGACATCCAACCAAAACATGACATGCATAAATGGACCAAAGTGGAATGTAAAAAGGAAGTAGGTTGAAGCCAGCCACTTTCCTTGCCTTCGTATTTTTCATGAATTATCGTTAACCATGGTATCATGATCTGACGATGTCCGTCACATGACGGGCGAAAGTTCAGCAAGGATTCATCCGGGTCGCATGGCAGTGCGCCGAGGACCTACTCGCAGAAATCTCAATCACAGCTACCCACACAGCTTCCGGTGTAACCAACTTACGGACTTTTTTCACTCGCATCTTTAATGGAAATGAGAGGTATTCCAAAATTGCTCAAAAGTATTTCTTAGTTTCACTTATTTTACAAACTTTTATAGCTGTTGTAGGCTTTTACTGACCATGCTGAGCCCATTCAACATTCACATTATAAATCATTAGGGCAGTCCTCAAATAGTGTTCATTTTTTAATTGAGTTACCTTACTTTGCCTGATTGTATTTAGATTTTGTTTTATTCGGTACAGTCCTCCAATCATAAAGGCAAATATCAATTTTAAAGTCATTTTGATTTCTCCACAAAATCTGTCCGAAAGCTCTATGCCCATATAAATTAGCCGAAAATCGAGTTGCTACTGTACAAACTTATCGTATATAAATTTAACTACAATTTGTAGGCAAGCTTTCTTGTTTGGAAATTATTTACTTGTGCGTTTTAACACTGCCTTCTTATGAATAACCTACTTCTACTAATTATTTTGTGTATTCTGCTTCATTCTGATTGGCTGATCTCCCTCATCCAACCAGAAGCGACTCTAACCTCAGAAACAGCCATGAATAAATAAGCAAACAAGATCAGGTTGCTCATATCAGCTCTATCCTCCCATTACAGCATATTTTTATCTACAAGCTCTCCCGAGATAAACCCATGTAGCTCAATCTTGTGCATTCTTAGCCTTGTGGCTAGGTTCAGTTCAAAAATGGATTATCATATGAATTAAATCACTAAATTGTTTCTGCATTTTGGATTAGCTGGAGCCATTACCAAAAAATAAAGGAATAAATTGTGTACAGCTGCTCGTTTTCCTTCATTGAAGCATAAAGCAGGCTCACTGAAAATCTCTTGACCAGTCAATTTGAGTGTCCATAATAAAATACATTAATAACCATAAAGATTGTAGAAGTTTCACCAAATCCTATTCATCGCCTTGGAGTTTCATATAAAGGAATAAAAGTGAGCAAAGTCGCTGATTAATTGAAGAGACCAAGATGCTTAGTTTTCATTGTGCTGCTAAGACAAACCTCGAAAGGCGATAGCATATATGGACAATCACGTTGAAAGCTTCCAAAACCCTATCCGGTATGAGAAGGGATATAGAAATGGAAAATTTCATAAAATACTAAAGGTTCACAGTCAGTTGGGTGTCTCTGTCTATAAAGATCTGACTCTTCCGAATCGGCTTTAGTGATTTTACGAAAAAAATTAGCTCAGAGTTGGAAAAGAGGTTTAAAAAACTCAAAAATGGAAGAGCGGAGCAATCTTGGTGGATATAAAAATGGTGCATCAGCTAGTGAGGACTCCGAGTCTTTGCCACCAGAAATGGCTTACAGAGAAGCCTGCCGACGAAAAGCAGACCATCTAGCCAGGTCGAAGATCAACTCTGTAGTTGTAGGCCGACGTGGAGGAGGAGTAGATGTAGAGGCGATAATGGTGAGAACATTCGGAATATTATATATTATTATCTCCCCTTTTGACTACCATTTACAATTATCGATGCTATAAGACTAAATTTAAACGTGAAAATAGATCCCTGGCATTTGAATTTTTGAATTATAAAAATACCCTTCTTATTAGCATTATAATTTTTAAGAATATTATTTAGTATCAGCCCCATGGAAGCATAGTTTTTTTAATATGAGACTACTACCTTACCAAATATATAGGAAATAACATAGATCTGTACCTATTTTGCATTTGTTTTCAATTTCACCATTAAG